AATTAATTTTAATATTATAATAAAAAAATTTTAATAATAAGAAAGTGTTCCAGAATATTCCTAGTCAAGAATATCAAGAAGAATATATTATTGGATATTGGTTTGCGTACTTTGGGCCCTTGATAGGTTTCTACGTGATGCAATTTGAAATATGTGATTTTAATGATATGTTTGGGTTACAACAGATATAATTTTTTACCTAGTTGTATCATATGTGTCCTTTCATATAGTGCTACAAGTACGTTCTTAATATTAAGAGATTACACAGTAAACAACAATGTATCGTGAACTATTTGTCTATTATTTGATAAAAATGTGTAAGGAAAGCGTCAATGACGTTTTTAGATGATTTTCTGTATGATTGACTGTTATGTAACATGCCTAAATAAAATAATACTATATATTTATAAATTCATTTATGCTTACACTATTTTCCTTAGGTACTTTTTTTTCTTATTTATGGAACTTTTGTTGTTATAATATCAACTCTTTCAGCATCACACCTACGTTTTCGAATTATCGAACAATTTGTTTTCTTTGTAAAATATGTTTTAATAAAACATTTAATCGTTAATAATGAGCTCTGTTTTCTGAAAACAATATTAAAAAAAAAAAAAAAAAAATATCCATTAAAATAATAACCACAAGAAAAAAAAAGCTATTAAATTTAATAATGAATATACGTTAACTATTTTCGTTGATCAGCTTGCACAAAATCTTTTTAAACTTCGTATATATGCATATACATTAGCAGCGCACTTCTAATGTGGTTACGCCTTAAAATCGAAATCTGCCTCTCATCTGCGTTCGGTTCACAGTCACTAGATTCGTTAAATTGTTTCTTCTTTTTTCTTTTTCTCAGTATAGCTCACTCTTATTGTCCTTTTTGTAAGTCATTTGTAATTTCAATGAACGTGAGTCTCGAATCCGAATCCTAAGATAAGAAGGATACCGTTAAATAACTAATTCTACTTTGTGTAACTTCAAAACTAGGCCATGTGTGTCTGTAGTTTACCAAATCAGGAGATTTCCTAATCTATTTTTAAAAATATTGCAGAAGTAGTATACTAAGCTTATACATCACGTATATTATTCACGAACAATTTTTTATTTGTTAGGCCTTGGCTGCGAATACATTTCTAGATTTGCTTTCACGACATATCTGTATGTTAAATCTACAATTTTATTTTCCAAATAAATCTTTTTGTTTTTTTTTGAGCATAATTATTTTGCATGGTTAATTGTTGTTCCATATTAACTAAAATAAAATAAAACGCAATACTTCCTTACACTAGGCCTTAAAAAAAAGACAGCACTTTTTGCAATACTTATTTTTGCGCTATAATATTTAATTTAAGTCGCACCTTTCAAACCACACCGTATTTTGCACAAATGTAACTGCTTGTTTCGTGCTGACAACGCAAAATGTATAACTGTGCACGCCTTTGAAAGAAAACATTCAAG